TATCAAACTGCCTCTGACTACAATTCTTGGATTTGCTCACTTGTGCTCGACTCTTGGACTGCTAGACTCTGCCTTCAGACTGCCCATTAACCTTCTCTGTGTTGACATTTTGACCTGGTGCTTGACCCTTGGACCAGACCCTGACCCCACTCTTTGACTAACTTCTCCCCCCATGCCACTATCTGCCTGCACGTCATGACACTCTTCAGGCAGGTAATTCCACAAGCTGGAGGCCACAATGGAGAAAGCACGTATACAGGCAGTTGTTGAGGTGTATCAACAGTGGCATAACATCCAAATTGCAAGATGTCAACTGCATTGGTCAGGCCACACCTGGAGTATTGTGTGCAGTTCTGGAGGCCTCACTTCAAAAGGATGTGGACAGAATGGAGCAGGTGCAGAGGAGAGCGACGAGGATGATCAGGGGCCTGGAGACCAAGCCCTAGGAAGAAAGGCTGAGCGACTGGGGAAGGTTTAGTCCAGAGAAGAGGAGGTTGAGGGGCAACGTGATTGCTCTCTTGAAGTATTTGAAGGGCTGTCACTCGGAGGAGGACAGGGAGCTGTTCCTGTTGGCAGCAGAGGATAGGACTTGCAAGAATGGGTTTAAATTAAGGGTGGGAAGGTACCAGCTGGATAAAAGGAAAAAACTTTTTGACAGTCAGAGTTGTGCAACAGTGGAATGGGCTGCCTAGGGGAGGTGGTGAGCTCCCCCTCCCTGGCTGCCTTTAAGCAGCGGCTGGACAGACACTTGTCAGGGATGCTCCAGGCTGATCCTGCATTGACCAGGGGGGGTTGGACTAGATGGCCTGTATGGCCCCTTCCAACTCTGTGATTCTATGACTCTGTTTGCCCATTTGCAGGCTGCACCTGCAGCTTGTACATATGCACATGCCTGAAATGCTAAGGCACCAAACAGTGCATATCCTGCCTTTTTCACACCTTGCAGCTACTGTGGTATATTCTAAATTGCTGAGTGTACTGTAGAACAGTTTGTGTTTTTCTGTTGTGTAGCCCAAGCCAAAGCTGTGCTGGCTTTAAATCAGCAGAGGACAGTAGATGTTTACAGTCTGCAGTCAGCTGTGGTGAAGAGCCTCCGGCAATGAGTGATAGTGGATGGCAGATACAGGTTTTATTCCAGGTTTTGGAGAGGGGCCCCAGGCAGAGAGTTCCCAGGAGCCCCCCCTCCCCTCCTCCGCCTACCATCAGGCACTTATCCCCGCCCACTCCCCTGCATGCCTTCCACCTGCTTGCGTGTCCTTCCCTTATCTGCTCTCAAGCGTTCCCACAGCTCATGCTTCAAGCTGCCTGCAGTGGCACCAGGCACCAATACAGCAGGGGAGCATGGGTGATGGAATGCTAAAAAGTGAGAGGGCAGGGGGTGCCGCTGGCAGCAGTGGGCCCAGCCAGAAACCCTGGGTCCCAGCAGCTGCCTCACCTCGGGGTATGCTGACACAGCCCTGGGTACATTTCTGCTTAGGCAATGAGCATGTGAGTGTTGTATCGGTCTGTTTTCATGTCTGAAATCTCAGAAATGTAGTGTTTCACATACATACTCTTCATAATCTTTACCATATTCTTGTAAGGCAGGCCGGGGGTCTTATTCCCCCACATTGCCGTTCGGGGGTGACAGTGGCTTGCCCAAGGCTACCCAATGAGTCTGTGGCTGAGACAACCTGGGTCTTCCTCACAGGTCCCTCTTGGGCATGATTCAGATGACACACCAGAGTTTAATTAACTGTGGCCAGTTGATTAACTCTGGGGTAGGGTCTGTCGAACCAGGATCTGACATCGTGATTTGAACCTGGTTTAATAACCACAGTTGGTCTTTCACATCGTGTTTGGATGCAGATGCCCTGGCTCGTTCCTTAGCGACACCCCCAGACACTCTCCAGTGATGGAGATGTCCAGGCAGAACAAAGGTTATGGAACCAGGGTTTATCAAGGTACACCAGGATGTGCGTGACCGAGCTTTTCTGTGTTCTCATTTTCCTCACCTGTAAGTCCCTGTTTCTTCTGGGGAGGGGGTGTTCTGTTCCACAGGTGTTTTATTTTATTTATTTTTATTTATTTTTCGTATTTATACCCCGCCCTCCCCGTGGGCTCAGGGCGGCTTACAGGGGCTCCCTCTAGTGGTCGATTCGATATTACACCAGTTTATTTCCAGAGTATATCCCTGTAGATTTTAACTGCAGGTTTTTATGCTGAACAGAAACTGGTGTAATATCGAATCGACCACTAGAGGGCGCGGAATGCATGCAGAATAGACAAAAAGAAATGGGAAAAAAACAGGAATGTACAAGCGAGGAAAAACAGAATGCGGAAGAGCCCGCTGTCTGGGAAATGAATTCTGGGTTCACAAACAGACTGTCGTTACCATGGTTTGCTGCTTTGTCTGGCCTGTGTCTCTACCATAGTAAATACAAAATAAATTGCTGAAAAAGTTCACAAAAATATAAAGATGTAATACATTTCAAATATCAAAGATGTAATTTAATATTTGTTTAAAAATATAAAGACTGACTTGTCCATGTAAAAGAATCAGTGTGTAGGAGCTGTGTGAGCCATTTTGAATGTTTTGGATACCCTTGTGGTGCATTGAATTGCAGAAGTTCATTGAATATTGAAGACTGAGATTGAGAAAGATCACTCGAAACGAACGCAGATAGACTCGAGAAGTGTTCGTCCTTGTTCCTGTGCTGTATACCTGCTAGCACCTGCTGGAAAACAAATATTAAATTACATCTTTGATATTTGAAATGTATTACATCTTTATATTTTTGTGAACTTTTTCAGCAATTTATTTTGTATTTACTATACTCTATTTGCTGTACCCCATAGTCTATATGCTGTGTCTCTACCATTACATGTAGATTCAAGTCCAGTAGCACCTCAGAGATCAAAATGATTTTCGGGGTATGAGTTTTCGAGAGTCCAAGCTCTCTTTGTCAGATACTGCCATTACATGGTCCTTTATCCAGTTATGCACTGTTTTACAGATGCAGTTTGCCAGTGTTTTACATAAGTACAGAATTTCAGCCTCAATTCCCCTCTGAAGGAGATTATTAACTTGTCCCTTTCAACGGGGACCTTCCCAGGGGGACTGAAGGAGGCAGTAGTTCACCCTCTCCTTAAAAAACCTTCTCTGGACCCAAGAGTCCTTAATAACTACCACCCGGTGTCTAATCTACCATTCCTGGGCAAGGTGGTAGAGAGGATAGAGGCAACACAACTTCAGGCTTTCTTGGAGGAGGCTAAAGTCCTGCATCCCTTCCAGTCTGGTCCATGGGACAGAGACGGTGCTGGTCACCCTGGTGGATGATCTCCGGGTACACCTGGACCGAGGCGGATTGGCGCTGCTGATTCTTCTTGATCTATTGTCAGCGTTCGATATGGTTGACCATGAGGTGTTAACCCACCGCCTCGCTGATGCTGGGATATGGGGGCTTGCCTTGCAGTGGCCGGCCTCTTTCCTCCAGGGTCAGGGACAGGACAGGGGGGGGCCCCGGGGGGGGGGGGGAGTTATCCTAGCGGCATCCACTGGAATGTGGCATCCTGCAGGGAGCAATTCTCTCCCCCATGCTATTCAATATCTATATTGCACCCCCTTGCCCAGATTATCAGGAGATATGGGCTGGGTTGTCACCAGTATGCGGATGACACCCAGCTCTATCTACTGATCGACTGCAACCCGGACACGGCCCCAGGACACCTGGACGAGGCGCTACAGGCTGTGGCTGGATGGTTACGACAGAGCCGACTGACGTTAAATCCTTCTAAGACGAGGTCCTGTACCTGAGTCGCGGGAGATTGGGTCAGGGGATTAGGCTCCCAACCTTCGATGGGGCTCCTCCACTGGTGCCTACATCGGGGGTGAAGAGTCTGGGGGTGTTCCTGGATGCCTCCGTCTCCATGGAGACCCAGGTCACTGCCACTGCCGGGTCTGCCTTTTTCAATCCGAGGCAGATCAGGCAGTCAGCCCCATATCTCACCCCCCCCAAGACTGAGCTACAGTGACCCATGCAATGGTCACTTCCAGACTGATTTCTGTAACTCTCTCTACGTGGGGCTGCCCTTGACTCTGTGCTCTGGAAGTTACAGCTAGTACAGAATGAGGCAGCACAGGTGTTGACAGCGACGCCTGTGCAGGCTCGTATCCACTCAGTGCTGTGTGAACTGCACTGGCTGCCTATTGGATTCCAGGTCCATTTCAAGGTGCTGGTGCTTACCTTTAAAGCCCTATATGGCCAGGGGCCAGCATACCTATGAGACCGCCACCCCCCATATGAGCCCTGGAGGGCACTGTGGTCTACAAATCAACATCTCTTGGTGGTCTCCAGCCCCAGGGATGTCCGATTAGCCTCGACCATGGCCAGGGCCTTCTTGGCCCTGGCCCCTGCCTGGTGGAACAAGCTCCCCTACAAGATTAGGGCCCTGCGGGACTTATTGCAGTTCTGCAGGGCCCGAAAGATGGAGCTCTTCCACTGGGCAGTTGGTTGAGGCAGCAGAACCCCCCCCCCCCAAGCTTTTGGCCAATCGCCGATCAGTGGCCTGGATCTGACTGGACTTCTGATTAGACATCGGATTTCATTTAACATCTGATCTCTCTGCTTTTATACAGTATTTTACAACATTATTATATGTAAATAGTTATATTAATTGTATTATTTAATTGTTGTACACTTCCCTGAGCCCCTCTGGGGAGGGCACTATATAAATCAAATAAATAATTCAGTAAATTTTGCTGGCTCCCCTCTTTGCCTATGGCTTTCATACTGATACCACAGAACACTCATGTATATATATTTTGAAGCTACCTTAATCCCTGCTCAAAGCTGCGGTCTGCCTAGCTGAGTATTTTCTATTCTGACTGGTGGCAGCTTTCCAGAGAAGAACTGTTCCCAGTGTCTAAGTCCCCAGCAGGGATTGAACCTGGAATTTTCTGCATACAAAGTATGTGATCTGACCGAGCTTCTTCTCTTGCTCTCTTGCTTTTTCCTTAGAACTGCAGCGAGATTGGTCAGACCATGCCCTGTGGTGGGAGCAGAAGAAAATGTGGCTGTTGAATACACATTGGAGCCTGGATAAATATGGGGTTTTGGCTGATGCCCGCCTGCTGTACACTCCACAGCACAAGCCGGTGCGTCTTTCCTTGCCGAACCACTGCGCCGTTCGTATCCGAGCCAACTTTGCCCAGCCAGTCTTCAGCGCAGTGATCGACATCTGCAGGGTTCTTGGTGAGCACCCCACAAAGCAGAGGGTGGCGCTGGGGCATCAAAGTGGGCAGTAACGGCCCTCCGCAACACTCAACTATTCTTTATTCTGTGAAGAGAAGAAAAAAAATAGGTGCAGTGGGAAAATAATTTTACTGATATTTGTAGATCCCTGCGTGTTTTGCATGCCGCTTCATCATGGGATGTAATGCAGTAACAGGAAAATTAAAATGTACGAGACTGTTTTATAAAAGAAATGTTAGGACTGAACAGAATCTTTTTCTCTTAAGGAGCCACATAGTTTGTCTGTTTTGTAAAGTTATAACGTATCTAAGGTTTTTGTCATAAGACAGGGCTGCAGTAACCAGGATAAAGCTATTTGTACTAATTTTTAGAGTCACAAGATGTGCAAAGTTTAACATGTAAGAGGATTCAAAATACGAGAGAAGCTGATGTTATTATATTCTCTTATTTTGTTTTTAATCAGATCCCCTGATGAAGCAGCGTGCAAAATGCGTAGGGATCTACTAATATACTGAAAAATACTTTCACACTGTAATTCTTTCCCCTCCCCCTTCTCTTCCTGGACTCTGTATAGATGCAGCCGCCTTCTTCTGTTTTTCAATACTGGATATTACTATTCTACCCTGATGGATGTCGTTTCAAAATCTGCAGGACAAAGTCTGAGTCCAGCGGCACCTTTAATACCAACACAGTTTTATTCGTGGTATAAGCTTTCGTGTGCAAGCACAGGTATCTAACAAAGTGTGCCTTGCACACAAAAGCTTACCCCGTGAATAAACCTGTGTTGGTCTTAAAGGTGCCACTGGACTCAAACTTTGCTCTGCTGCTTCAAACACAGTTACCCCACCTGTTTCAGAATTTGGGCACTCTACTTCATTGCTTCTGACTCTGGCATTCCAGATGTTGGAAGTTCAGGTGACCCTTGCAAAGGAAGACTCCACCATTAATGGCTGTATAAATGAGACAATTTGGCTTGTGGTTCAGGGCAGAGAAAAGCCATACCTCCCAGTACATTATCTCATAAAAAGCCAGCCCTCCTAGCTCCATTCTCTAGTGTCCCGGTCATCCTCCCCTCTAGCTCCTCCTCACAATAATGAGGACTAGGAACTTAGTGAACGGGGATTTTCAAGAAGAGGCTGAATTTTAGACATGAAGCCAAATTCATGGCAGATTCATGTCCCAGTCCCTGTAATTAACTGTGATTAAAAGCAAGAAGGTTTCAGGGGAAGACTGGGAAACAGGTTAGAGTGCTTTGTGGGACACCAAGAAAGGATAAAGCAACAGGTGAGATCAGCTAAGGGGCTAATGGAAATATCTTGCAGGTATCCGCCATCCTGAAGAATTGTCCTTGCTGCGTGCACCTGCAGAGAAGGAGAAGCGGAAGCACAAGGAGAAAGAAGGAAGCGCCACGGAGACCTATGACCTGACGGGAGTGCGGCTCCCAACAAGTGAGTCGTTTGGGGGGAGGCCGAGTGAGCACGTGTGCACATCCAAGTACAACAGCATATGCTTTCTAATCTTGCTGGAAGACTGTGCCTGTCCTGCTATCTCCACCAACGCTCAAGATGGCATGTAGAGAATTAAAACAATATAACAAATTTAAAATACCAATATAGTAATTGCATATTCAAATCACATATTAAAATATATATGATCAACAGGAACAAATATGCCTTCAGAGAGTGCCAGCCAGCTGCAGAGAGGCGTATTCCATAATCAAGGTGCCACCACAAAATGGGTCCTGTTTCGACAGCTTCCCAGCTTATTTCAGTTCACAGTGGCACACAGACCGGGGTTTAAGATTATTTCATCAGTTATTAGGCAGGTTCATATGGGAGTACACAGTCTTTCAGACACCATGGCCTATTTGCCACAAAACCATGGATCCCTTGAGCACAGTTTGCCAATTTAAATTACTGCTCATCTTGGATTAAAGAGCAGGATTTGGGGGTTAGAATAGTGGCTTTAACCCTGATCTTGTCAGGTTTTGGAAGCTAAGCATGGTTGACTGTGGTTAGTACTTGGATAGGAGACTTCCTTGGAATTCCACATCAGGAGGACAGGGCAGGCTTTCAGCCACCTGTCAGAATATCCTCCAGGCCCCCAGTTGGGGTCAGTCACCAGAGGTCAACGTGACTTCCAAGTGCAGAAACACGCCCAGAGAAAATACTAACAAAATATAGTGGCTTTCAAAATGCCTTTTGAGAAATCTCAGAGTTCCTTGGGAAGTTGATCAAGGCCTCTCACTCTAAGACAGGACACTTTATTGACTATTTTAAAGCTCTTTTTCAGCCACAATGCATGATGAAACAGTTAAGAACTGTTTGGTGTAGTGGTGAAGTGTGTGGACTCTAATCTGGGAGAACCGGGTTTGATTCCCCACTCCTCTACTTGCACCTGCTGATGTGACCTTGGGTCAGTCACAAGCTCTGGCACAGCTGTTCTTGAAAAAAGAGCAGTTTCTGTCAAGAGTTCTCTCAGCCCCACCCACCTCACAGGGTGTCTGTTGTGGGGAGGGGAAGGGAAAGGAGTTTGTAAGCCACTCTGAGACACCTTTGGGTAGTGAAGGGCGGGGTATAAATCCAATCTCCTCTTCTTCTTCTTAAGTTTGTGTTCTTCTCTGGAAGGGAAGGGAGAGATTGTGACAGATTGTCTGTTCTCAAGTAAGAGGAGGGATATAGCTCAATGAAAATCTGTTCCTGAGGGAACTCTTGAGGTAGCATGGGACCTGAGGCGGGAGAGTGCAGTCTGAGGGGGAAACCGAATGAATGGGAGACACGCTATCATGCTCTTACACATCTGGAACTGGGTGGGTATGGTTACCAACTCCAGGTTGAAAAATTTCTTAAGATTTGGGGGTGGAGCCTGAGAAAGGTGGGATTTGAGGAGGGGAGATACTTTAATGAGGTATAGTGCCATAGAGTCCACCTTCCGAAGTGGCCATTTTCCTCAGGGGGAAAAAAATCTCTGTCCTCTGGAAATCAGTTGTAATTTCAGGAGCTCTCCAGGTGCCACTTGGAGGTTAGCCATTCAAGGGGTGGGGGAGGCATGGCTTCCAGCTCCAAATCTGGCTGAACTCATAGGTCACATCCACTGCAGTTATGGAAGATGCCTCTGGGAAGGTTGATATAATGTAGTGTATTCCAAAGCTGCCATGGAATGCATGATGTATGTGAAACATCTCATTGACTTGTAATGTTAAGCTTCGTCCTGGGCTAGGATCCAAATACATCCAATCGTGTTACTAGCCCAGGAAGCACCTAACCAATCACCTTCTAGTAAGCTCCCTGAGTGGGAACATCCGTGATTGGTCCTTATGTGAACAACCTTATTGGTTGGTATTTGTACAGTGGGTGTGGCTACATTAGCCGGGAATGTTTAAAAGCAGGACAGCTGCACTGTAACGGCTGTTCTGGCTATCAGATGTTGATCCGTGTTGGAGTTGTGTTTGAGTTGAAGGATAAAGCTGTGTTCCTGCTGAATCACTCTCCGACTTCTTTGTTAAGCGAGCGACTTAACAGACACATATAATAGGAATATGGAACGTATGGATCTGTCAGCTATGCTGCCATGGGGGTGGGGAGGTTCGTTCCCTTCTAATCGCCTTTGGATTCCTTCTGTGCAGGAACAGTATAAAAACATGAAAAAGGACCAAAGGAAAAATAAAAATGTACAGCAAGCAAAATACAAAATCAGCTTGGGTAAGTCCTATACAGAAAGACATTAAAACATAACGCAGCTCTATATGAGGTGTGTGTGTGTTAATATCTTTCAATACATGGTATTCAAGAAAGAAATTGCATCTTTTTTTGTGATATATTTCTATCTTTGGTCCATTTTCTTGTTTTCAAACTAGGATCAGAAGCCATGGTTTAAAAGTCAGTTTGCAAAGGGGTTTGCAAGCCATGGTTTGGCATGATGCATTGTGTAGCACAACATAATTATACAAAAAAAAATGACTCTGGAGGCCGCTACCCATAGAACACTGCTGAGCAAGACGGAAAAAGGAAGCGGAAAAACAGTTGCAGAGCGTGGTACCCGTATGTGTTTCAAGTCTGGGTTCTCAATTATAATTGGTGCAAACTATGATTTGGGGAGGGGTCTCAATCGAGCTGGTGTCTTGAGACAGTCCTGGTTCACCTCCTAGAGAGTTCATGATGCCTGCTTTGTCAGACGACCAACTGGCGGTCCTTCTGGAGACTACAAGACGTAACACACTGACCTTTCCCCCAATCTCTGGTCTCCCCACCCCAATCCATTCCAACACCAGATGCAGAGCAGCAGCTGTTCCGTGGGATGCCGGCACACTTTTCAGACAGTGCCCACACTGAAGCCTGTTACAGAATGCTGTCCATCAGTCAGACCGGGCTGACCCCGGAGCAGATCTTGCGCAAGCACCGGCCAGGATCCCTTGTCGAGAAGACTCAGATCAACAGCAGGTAAGGAGGAGGCAGAGGGAGGGGCTGGGGAGAGAGGGATGGGACCAGGGCTCGCCTCGGCATACCGCAAGGTAGGGCAGCTGCCAGGACTCATGGATTCTAGCAGGGCTTGCCGCTGCTGACTCCCTGCCCATGCATCTCCTCTGATGCCTGCACTTAACAACCTTCCACTACCTGCTTGTGAGTGTTTTATCACCTGTGTGCCCAGTGGCCCTACACTGCCTGGCACTACTGGAGAAGAGCATGAGGATGGTGCACAAAGCATCAGCATCTCCGGTGGCCGTAGCCCTTGCTGCCCTGACCGCTTGCTCCGGAGAATCCGAGGAGTCAAGCCTTAAGGGCTGACTTTGCAGTCGCGTGCATTCCCTCTGCACTGGATTCCCCCCCCCCCCGGTTTATTTATTTGTGTATTCCGTATGCATCCTGCATCTACGAGCAAGTCCCGCGTTTTTTGAACTAACCGGCTGCTTTGTCTCAGATGAAGCGAAAGGCAAGCATCTTTCAAAACCTTTAACTGCAGACCCATCCCCTCTCTCCCTAACTCCGTGATTCTGCAAAAAGAAAGGGGAGGGAGGGGAAAATCCAGGCCCACGCAAGCAAGACTGACACATTTGGGAGCAGGGAGTCCCCTCGTCCTTTATATTTATAGATTTGAAAAGTACTAGGTTCGACGCATGGAGAACTCGGACTACGACATGCGTTCAGACGCGTTTATTGTACTTCACAACAGGACAAGGAAAACCGGCCAAGGCCAACTATATACACTCCACCCGGCACACCTCTGTCCCCATTGGAGGGTTTGAATTTCCCGCCAAGGGTGCTATCGGTGGACTCTAGGTGGACTAGGATCCTAGGCCCCCTTTGTGTTTGGGGACCAAGTGCCTGCTTAGCCGTGGACCCCTGGTGGCGGTCCGCGTACATAACAAGATTCCTTCTTATGCTCTCTCTGGCTCTTTCGTCTTTGGAGAAGGAGAGAAAGAAAGCAGAACTGGGAGTGAGCGAACAGCAGGGTAACAGTGTGCTGGAAGTAGTCTGAGTGCAGATCCCTGTAAAACAAATGCAGAAACAAGAAAAACTCCCGACACAAACTGGAAGTGGAAGCAGGAGGAAATGCAGAATGGAAGAATCGGATGCGCTCAGAAACAGGCAAAATATGGGAGCAGAAAGGGCCAGTGGCGCTCCTAGCAACACCCTCTAGTGTGGGCACCTGTGACTGCAGGTGGTGGGAGAGCTTGCAGGTGGGAAGAGGAAGGATGCACAGGCAAGAGAGGGCATGTGGTTGGGTGGGTCAGAAGGGGAGGCCTATAGTCCTCAACCAGGATGGTCCAGACCTCTGGAGGCTGAGGCTAAGAGACAAGGGTCTGGTGCTTCTTTTCTTGACTTTATTCTGGGCCATCCTGGCCGAGACATTCCTCCAAATTCTCAGAGCGAAGACAGAGTCGCATGTGGGTCTTCCACTGCAGAAACGTATCAGGAGAAAGGAGTACCTTTCCCTCTACATACACAGACTCTGGAGACTTTGCCATGATCTGTGTTCTGTCGCTCTCACTAATTGGCTCTGTTTTTAGCCAGCAACCAGCCACCTCTCTGGTCTCTTTGAATGGGTGTGTGTGTGTGTGTGTGTGTGTGTGTGTGGAAGCAGAGGTCCATCAGTGGCTATAGGCCGCAGGGTATAGATGGGACACTATGTCTGGGGCAAATTTTGAGTCCAGTGGCACTTTTAAAACCAACAAAGGTTTATTCAAGCTCATACCTTGAATAAACCTTTGTTGGTCTCAATGGTGCCACTGGACTCCAAATTTGTTCTACTGCTTCAGACCAACATGGCTGCCCACCTGGATCTATGTCTGGGGCAGTGATGCTCTGTATTCTTGGTGCTTGGGTGGGCTTCTGGAGGTCTGGCCCCGCTGCTGGACCTCCTGATGGCACCTGGGTTTGGGTCACTGTGTGACACGGAGTGTTGGACTGGGTGGGCCATTGGCCTGATCCAACATGGCTTCTCTTATGTTCTTATGAGGGGGCACCTACAGAATCTACCACGGACTGGTCAGCTCGTTGAACACATCAACATAGATTGCGATTCTAGATAGGACTAAAGAGCCACCATGACCAGGATTCTCTCTCTCCTAGCAGCCAGCCCGTTTCCCCTGGGGGAGCTATCAAAGGAATACAGAGATAGCCAATTCCCCGTTTGTTCATTGTGTACTGCACTTTTCCAGCCACAAATGGGCTGCCAGAGCAGCTTGTAGCAATTAAAAGATAACAAATATCAATTAGGGTAGAATTTTAATGAGATCCTGGTCCAGGCACTCTTTTATCATCTCTGGCTGTCGACTCTTGCCCCGTGGGGGTATCCTGAGCCCATCTGAACTCTCCTCTAATTTTTAAAAGCCATTCCCAGGACCCGAGTTGGGTACATAGAATCTAAACACAACTTGTTACAAACCTGAACATGTTGTTTGGACCCTTAGAATAGGTATTCCTATTCTTCCTCATACTAGGAAAGCCTTGGTATGCATGGGCATGATCGAAGACTGCACACTGCCCAAATTTCACTCACAGGAGAGCCTCTTCTAGCATGTTACTTGTTGTGATGTGTGTAGGCATAAGAAGAGGCATTCCCACCGCCCTCAAACAGAAGAGAATGCCTCTTCTAAGAGGATACATATTGTGTGTAACAAAAAGGTACTTTTTCTTCAGAATTATTACTCATCCAAACATATTGCATACCTTTGGATGATTAAACAACTGAGATCTTTAATTATTATTTGACAAACCAATCTCTACTCCGATGGGCCTGAAATCTAAAATTTGATATCAGAAGAATCGTCAAAGACAGAGAAGGTGTTGTGTCCGCGGACGGCCACTGGGTGCCTGCGATACAGCGGAGCTTGAGTCCAGAGAACAATGGGGACCAGGCTCCTGCACCCTGCCACTAGGGGAACCAATGGGACATTGGCGGGAGGTTTGAATGGGCCAATGGGAGGTTCCCCAGACTGTAAAAGGAGAGGAAGAAGCTGAAGAAGCGGAGTAAAGTGAAAGTGCCCACTGCAAACCACCTGTGCTTCTCCTTACAAATCTTACCACACAAGGGGAAAATAAGACAGCAATGCGAACAACAGCAAGAGCACAGAAACAGGTTCTTCTTGGGATTTATATGCCCAACAGTCTTCATGTTTGCTTACTTCCTGCTTCCCCAGGTGGTTGGATTCATCACGGACTCTGCTGCAGCAGGATATTAAGGAAAACGACCATCTGTGGCTACGCTTCAAGTATTACAGCTTCTTTGACCTAGAGCCAAAGGTCAGTGCAACGTCCCTCTCCACAGGGATCCAGGCCCCCATTAGTTCCTCAGGCCCCCTCCTTTAATCTCTCTGTGTGTGTCTGCGCATACGAAGAGAGGCCCGCTTTTATGTTGTTTATTTTTAAAGGGGGCATTTCTCCCACCATTTTTTGAGGCAGGGTCATGGCAGCATCCCAACTCAAGGAACGAACGTGGGGGTTTCAAGGCAAGAGATGTCCAGAGGTGGTTTGCCAGTGCCACCCTGGTGTTCCTTGGTGGTCTCCCATCCAAGGACCGGCCCTGCTTAGCTTCCAGGATTTGATTGGGCTAGCCTGGGCCATCCAGGTCAGGGCTTAGCTGGAATGCAAAAATCCAGTTTCTAGTCTGTGGAGCAAAACGTGACTCCTGGGAGTCTGCAAGTTATACCTCTGGGTTTTTTCCCTTTCTGGCGAGTGTTTAAGAGCAGGGTAGGGCTTGTCTTGTATAGTCCGTTGGCCAGGGCTTTTTTTGTAGAAAAAGCCCAGCAGGAACTCATTAGCATAATTGGCCACACCAAACAGCAGAACCTCATTAGCATATTAGGCCACACCCCTGACAGCGTAGGTCATTACCATATGAGGCCACACTCCTGTGTTACCAGAAGTGTGGTCATCCAGCCACACCCACCTTTTGCTTCTTATTCTGTTTACCTTGTTTGTTGTCAAAACCCTGGGCTTTTTTTGTAGCAGGAACTCCTTTGCATGTTAGGCCACACACCCCTAATGCAGCCCCGTAGCTAGGGATTTTGGGGGGAGGGGGCCTGGGGGGGGTCAGCTAATTAAATCAAAGTGAATCACATTAATTCAATTTGGGACTGGCCCGGGAGAGAGGGGGCCCAGAAGAAATGCTAGGGGGCCAGGCCCCACAGGCCCCGCGTTAGCTACGGGCCTGCCCTAATGTAGCCAATCCTAATAAGTTCCTGCTGTTGGGTGTGGCCTATTATGCTAATGAGTTCCTGCTGGGCGTGGCCAACTCAGGAGCCAGCCGGAACTCCATTCCTGTGCGTTCCTGCCCAAAAATAGCCCTGCCGTTGGCCCAACTGTGCTTTGCTTTCTTGCATTCAGTATGATGCTGTGCGGATAAACCAGCTGTACGAACAGGCCCGTTGGTCTGTGCTGCTGGAGGAGACAGATTGTACTGAGGAAGAGATGGTGGTCTTCGCTGCTCTGCAGGTAACTTTCTCTCCCTCTTCCCGAGAACATTTGAGTGCCCACTACTAGGTGACTGTCGGGCACTTAGTAAGGTTACCAGGTCCCCTCTAGCCGCCAGTGGGGGGGTGGGGGGCAGGGTTGCCAGATCCTGGAAACTCCTGGAGATTTGGGGGTGGGGCCTGGGAAGCACAGGGACCAAAGTGGACCAAAGCATCCGTTTTCTCCAGGGAAACTGATCTCTGTAGTCTAGAGATGAGCTGTAATTCTGGGGGATCCCCAAGTCCCACCTGGAAGCTGGAATCCCTAGAACTTAGCCAGGGTTGCCAATCTCCATGTGGCACCTGGAGATCTCCCACTATTACAATTGATCTCCAGACAGCAAAGATCATTTCCCCTGGAGAAAATGGCCGCTTTGGAGGGTGGACTCTGCGGCATTGTGCCCAGCTGAGGTACCTCCTCTCCCCAAATTAGGGTTGCCAAGTCCATCTTCCACCCCCAGCGGGGGACTTTGGGGGCGTTCCTGGAGGGGGCGGGGCATCCCCGACGTGATGACGTCACGTTGGGAACGTCCGCTGCCCTCCCCACCCGCCCGTATGCCAGATCTCCAGAAACAGCAGTTCCCTGCACTTAGAAGAGCCGGCGTTTCCCCTTTAAGAGCAGCCGCGTTTCCCTTTTAAGAGCACGAAGCTGGCATTTCCCTGCAAGCTTGCAGAGATCCGGCTTGGGAGGAAACACGGGTTCCACACACTTAACAGAGATCAGTTCCCCTGGAGAAAATGGCTGCTTTTTTTTGGGGGGGGGGGGGCATTTATGGTATTGTTACTCCACTGGGGGCCCCGCCCTCCTCAGGCTCCACCCCCAAATCTCCAGGTGTTTCCAAACCCAGAGTTGGCAGCCCTGCCGCTGAGTGCCACTCACCCGATGCATCTCGAGCAGAACTTGTCTGTGTGGTCCCTTCCAGTATCGGATCAACCAGCTGTCCTTGAACACCGGCCCCACAGACCACGCTGGAGACTCCGGCCTCGATGACCTGGATGCCGCTCTTGCCACGCTGGAGGTCAAACTGGAGGGGAAATCGACGACTCCGAATGTTCTGGTGAGTGCTGAACGGGGCGTGGCCTCCTTCTACACTGAAACTATGGGATGGGACACATCCTTGCCATAGCATGCCAAGGCCAAGCTGCTGGGGTCTGAGTAGGGTTGCCAACTCCCAGGTGTGTCTAGTAACAAATAAATATACACCGCAAAAACCTTTTAGCAAACTAGTGTGTTCTATTTATGGTCATTGTTTAGTAAAGTGCACCGTGTCTCATTATTTCATCCTAGTCAGGTATAAATGTTCATTACATTCAATAAGCAATAACATTCAGTACATACAGGTTGCTTCAACTTCCGGGTGGTGGCTGGAGATCTCCTGGGATTACAACTGATTTCCAGGCGACAGAGCTCAGTTCTCCCAGAGAAAATGGCCACTTTGGAACATAAGAACCTAAGAGACGCCAATGTTGGATCAGGCCAAAGGCCCATCCAGTCCAACACTCTGTGTCACACAGTGGCCAGAAATACCAGGTGCCATCAGGAGGTCCACCAGTGGGGCCAGGACATTAGAAGCCCTCCCACTGTTGACCCCCCCCAAGCACCAAGAAGACAGAGCATCACTTGCCCCAGAGTTGTGGCTAATAGCCTTGTGGCTAATAGCCACTGATGGACCTCTGCTCCATATGCTTATCTAATTCCCTTTTGAAGCCGTCCATGCTTGTAGCTGCCACCACTTCCTGTGGCAGTGAATTCCATGTGTGAATCACTCTTTGGGTGAAGAAGTACTTCCTTTTATCTGTTCTAACCCAACCGCTCAGCAATTTCATTGAGTGCCCAAGAGTTCTTGTATTGTGAGAAAGGGAGAAAGGTACCTCTTTCTCTACCTGCTCTAAGGAACCTGCGTTTTAAGAACATAAGAACATAAGAGACGCCAATGTTGGATCAGGCCAAAGGCCCATCCAGTCCAACACTCTGTGTCACACAGTGGCCAGAAATACCAGTGCCATCAGGAGGTCCAGCAGTGGGGCCAGGACATTAGAAGCCCTCCCACTGTTGACCCCCCCCCCAAGCACCAAGAAGACAGAGCATCACTTGCCCCAGAGCCCCTAGCTATACCTTGTGGCTAATAGCCACTGATGGACCTCTGCTCCATATGCTTATCTAATTCCCTTTTGAAGCCGTCCATGCTTGTAGCCGCCACCACTTCCTGTGGCAGTGAATTCCATGTGTTAATCACTCTTTGGGTGAAGAAGTACTTCCTTTTATCCGTTCTAACCCGACCGCTCTGCAGTTTCATGGAGTGCCCACGAGTTCTTGTATTGTGAGAAAGGGAGAAAAGTACCTCTTTCTTTACCTGCTCTTTCCCATGCATAATCTTATAAACCTCGATCATGTCACCCCTCAGTCGTCTTTTCTCCAAGCTAAAGAGCCCTAAGCGCTTTAACCTTTCCTCATAGGGAAAGTGTTCCAACCCTTTTATCATTCGAGTTGCCCTTTTCTGCACTTTTTCCAAAGCTATAATATCCTTTTTAAGGTGTGGTGACCAGAACTGCACACAGTATTCCAAATGAGGTCGCACCATTGATTTATATAGGGGCATTATGATATTGGCTGATCTGTTGTCAATACCCTTCCTAATAATCCCCAGCATAGCATTGGCCTTCTTTATTGTAGTCACACACTGTCTCAACGAGTTATCCACTACAACTTCAAGATCTCTCTCTTGTTCAGTCTCTGCCAGTTCAGACCCCATCAATGTGTATTTATATTTAGGATTTTTGGCTCCAATGTGCATCACCTTGCACTTGGCCACATTGAACCCCATTTGCCACGTTGACGCCCACTTGCCTGTCCACAACAGATCCCTTTGGAGTGCCTCACAATCCTCCCTGGTTTTCACCACCCTGAACAACTTTGTATCATCCGCAAATTTAGCCACTTCACTGCTTACTCCCAACTCCAAATCATTAATGAACAAGTTAAAAAGCATTGGACCAAGTACTGATCCCAGTAGGCCTCAGAGCAAGCAGGAGAGTAGGAGGGACTTACTACTTCTCTTCTCAGTCTCCCTGCTAGCAGCCTGCAGGAGTGCAGGGCCTACTAAAAATCTGAAGGACCAGGCCTGGCCTAGAGCTAGGGTAGGGTTGCCAAGTTGGTGCAATCGCCTCAGCGGGGGACTCCTGGGTGGCGACTGGAGCGCGCGCACCGCACGCACATCACCCGGATGTGACGTTAGGACGCCATATGACGTTAGGACGCCATAGAGTTTTCCCTCCGATGGTCGTGGCCCCGCCCCCAGCGTGCTCGGCGTCCTAATGTCAGTTCCTGTGACGTGCACGTCTGGGCAGAGTTCCCCCTGGGGCCCGATCCGCTGGCATCGGGGAACGGGCCTCTGGGGCGGGGGTTTCCCCACCCCCCGGGGGGACTTGGCAGCTGAAAAGTACTCAGAACGTGGAGTGATTCAGCAAGAGTGATTCAGCAAGAGTACCTTATTTGATCAGGAACAAGACAAAGGAAACCCGCTCACAGGCCGGTTTATATGCGTTCAGAAAGCCCACCACCAGTACACCTAAACACACCCCCTACTCCCGATAGGCTATTTACAATAACCGGGCGACCGTTGGTCTCCTGGCTGGGAAGCTAGCCCTTTGATTGGGCCGGCTAGGATCCTTCGGATCCTTTGTCTATCGACTGAAGTTACAGATGAATTGTGCCTGGCCAGCCCGGGCAAGTCTGGGCATGTCAGGCTGATGCATTACACTGATGCCTTACACGTGGAAAGGCAGCAGTACATTACACCCCTCCCCCCATAGTCCAAACTACCCACATACAAAGTCCTGGAGGTATGCGGGAGACTTCCTGGGCCTTGTGGAACGGCGGAGTTCCGGGGTGCTGCTTGGGGCTGCTCCTTGTGGCCGTGGCGGGGCGGTTGGCTGCGGCGTTTCCGGCGGTGGCAATGCCGGAGGTTCCGGAGTGACCGGGGCCAGGGCCGAGGCCGGGTTCTGCGGTTCTGGTGCGTGGACCGATGCTTCGTCGTGCT